ATGAGAAGGGCCTGTATAAAAGAGGTTGCAAATGTGGTACCAAGTGTGTGGGAATTTGTACCTTGTGCCAACTCCTTCCACCCTGAATCCTGCCCTGAGAGAGGCCAAGGGTGATCAGCTGAGCCAGAGGTGTTATTTCACCCAGGGGTGTCACCATCACTGCACTGGTGATGGCATTTGCCTGGCTCCCCAAGCCATGATGGGTCACTCATCACAGCAGGGTGAAGCCACCACCCCAGTGCTGTCAGGTATCCTGGGACAAGCTGGATGAGCCTCTGGTGGGGGGAACACAGGCAAGAGGCTGGTTCAATTATGCTCCCAAATGGGTATGGGCAAGCTGTATAAAACAAGGTGGGGGATTGAAAAATACATTGAAATGCAATTCTTGGAGGTGCATCCAGCTCTGGCACATTTCTTAAATGAGAAACATCTTTTTTTGCTGGGATAATTTATCATGCTTGAAACATTCTGAAAGGCTGTATCTTTCTGCTAACTATCTCTACTATTTTAATTTAAAAACTTTTAAAAATTATCATCCAAATGAATGGTAAGTAGCAAGAGGGTAAACTGCTCTGAGCTCTCCATTAGTGCAAACAATGCAAAGTGACTCTACTCTATTTACAGAAAATTAATGAACTTAAAAAAGATGAACTGCATGTCATTCTAGTGATCATAAGTTGTTTTTCATGTAAGAAGGTTTGCAGCTTTATACATTAAATGCTGGGACAAAAGAAACATCTGCAATATTAATAATTGTAATACAGGATTGTATGTTGAGGGAGTAGAAATAATATTAGTTTTCTTAATGAAGACTAATGAAATTGTTCTGATATTTCCATTACAATTTCAACAAGTTTTTCTAATGAAGAAAATCCTGCTTTTTGAAAGCTAATTTTTCATTTTTAACTCCTGAAATGTCAGTGGAACACTAAAATGTAAAGGCAATATTGTAGGATGTCAGTACATTTCCAGTTCTAAAGGGAAATTGATGTTTGTTTTTGATTGTTTTGTTTTTGATTAAAAAAACCTCAGGCTATTACAGAAAAGTATGTTTATCTGTCACAGTCCTTTATCTATAGACTGACATGGCAGATACTCTTCACTGGGCTTATCAACAGCTGGATGGACAAAGTGCCTTTTCCTTAAACCTGACTAGGGCAGGATACTTCAAGTTAAAGGATGCAGTCTTGAGGGGTACGGAGAGGGAAAGAGGTCCTCACTGAGACCAGTTCCTCTGGGAGCACCACAGTCAGCACAGATACATCATCTTTGAAAAGTACCCCCAGCTCATTATGCCTGGTTGCAGATACTAAGTAGAATCTGATAACAAATAACAAGTAAAAGCTGACTTTTTTTGGAGGTGTTCATACTCAGATTCAGAAGGAGCATGGCTATAGGAACTCCCTTGTTTTTGGGATGAGGCAGCTGTTCCCTGTTTTTGCCACTGACAGCTATGTTCCCAGAACCCCTGTGGAACTGCCTGGGGGGTACTAATGCTGAAGAGTCTCTCTGTCTGTCTGGACCTGGATCTGCCCCATATCCCCTCTGCCAGCTGCTGGGTATCATCACTAATTCTAGAAGAAAAAAATCTGGGGTGTTTGCGCAGGATCTTCTTGTCTTAATTTCTGTCATATATATCTTATACTGTGCAGGTGCTGCTACATAAATTTTCTGTCTAACACTTTTCATAGCATTAATATGGTTGTTGAGCCATCAGTATTTTTCACACCTGACAGTTTCTTAGAATGCATCAATTATTTTCCTACCTGTGTTCACAGTTTTGTTGTAATTAAAAAAAAAAAAAAAAGAATAAGAAATGTAACATTTTATTCTACTTTTTGTTAAAACAGAAGAACTGAATTTATTCATAACCTTATAAGCACAAACCTGATAACTTCCAAAGTTAATGATGAAATCTGAACAGGTGAACTGCCATTTTCAGGCCAGTAGGTGTGAAGAAGAAACAGGAAAAGAAAGTCATACTGAAAATCAATACTGATTAGTGTGATTAGTTAGTGCCATTTCTAGCCACATTTATGACCCAAAGCACATGTAAATACAGATACAGAAAGTATTTCTCTACTATAATATTTCAGTTCTATGCTCTAGGAAAATCTTTCTGGTATCCTGCATCTTGGGCTGAGAAAAAACTGGCTTCTCCCTTTCCACTTTTCCTTCCTTCCTCAGCAATTCAGGTTTGTTTTGCCAGCTGCCTTGTGCCCCAGTCCCTCTCCCCTGCCCTTAGTTTACTGTCATTCCCCTGGTTTCACAGTTAGACACCACATCTCCTCCAGCTTAATGCTGGAATGATGCCCCAAAGTTTCCAAGTTGCTAAGACCTCCATGGCCCTTTCTGGTACAGCACCACAGCACCCACTGAGGTTGGATTCTTTACAGATACAGAAGCTTTGATGTCATACTCTCTTTTATTAAGAAACAAAATGGACAAAAGGACTTTTGTGTCTGTGTACTCCATTCTATCTCTCAGTGGTGTCACCCACACATTTACTTGAGTTGTCCCTTTCTGTTACACATATCAAATACCAAGATTGCAATTACATTAAGTATAGACTTTTCTGCCCAACTGAGATTAATACACATAGAGCACTAGCTCAGGAGCTGAACCTTGGGGACTTCCAGCAATTGCTTATCTATTTGCTGTGTCAGGTCTTGATTAGTTATTTCAACAGTTATGTATTTGCAGTGCTTTGCCATGGGAGAGACCTGCTCACACCCTTCAGTCTCTCTCAGGTGTACATGCACACAGGTGTCCATACATCAAGCTGGCCCTGCTTCCAATGATTTGCAGGTTTTGCCATATGCCTTGGTCTTAGCTAGCATCACATATCCTTGTGTGTGCAGCAAACACCAGGCTGCCCATGAGTGTCCCCAGCTTCACTTTGTGCCTCTGTATGTAACTCAAGATGCTGCTGCCCTCACTGCTCTCTGGGTAAAATGGAGCCATAAAATGACAGCTATCACATGAAACTTGCAGTGGTTGCAATCACCAGTAACTGCTGGGCTAGTAGCAAATTGCCTTTGCCTGCTCTTCTGCTTTCCCCAGAAACAGTCTGGCTTCTGGAAGACCTACTCTGCTGACTGTGGAGTCTAAGAGGCAGAGGTGGATTTTCCTAAGGTTTTATGGTACTGCTCTGCTTTGGTAAATCAGGGTACTGACAGAGTTCTCATGCACCCATCACACTGTCTCCACCTTGACTGGGGGAAGCAGGGCAGAAGGCCGAGATTGCTCAGCCTGTGGCCACAGGGAAGAGCAGAGAGGACTTTTAATTTGCACCCCAAACCCTGCTCCCTGATGGTTCCTGTTTTTCCTTGCTGGATTCTTCCAGCAGAAACCCAGCATGGCAGGAGCCTTGAGCTTTTCCAGTGAGTGTCAGCCAGAGGTTGGTGAATGCTCCTGATCCTCCTGTGCCTGGCACTGCCAGGTGTAAATCTGGAAGGGGCCCAAACCTACCAAACCCTACAGCCCTGCTGGGTTTCCCAAGAGGTACCTCTGTCTCCAGCTACCCTTCTGCTTCTCCTTCTTTCTTACTTTCTCTCAGTTTGAGAGTGTAGAGGTCTCTACTCTCTCTTCCCATCACAATTTATGTAAAATAAGCCCATTTTTCAGTGGAAGCAATTCAAGACATGATAGAAACCATCAGAAGAAAGATTTAGAACTTGGGAAGCGGGGGCCCATCTGCAGCTCCAGCCAGCCCAGCTGCTTCCTGGGATCTCACCACAGCCAGGACTGCAGGAGCAGGAGCAGTAGAGGGAGGAAAAACACCCAAGGAAATTTCTTATTTGACATTGTTTTCTGCACAATCTCATCCTAAAAAGGGCACAGCTGTCACTCCATTTGTTAACATCAGCAAGTAACGATGGAAAGAAAAACATCATTTTATTTCTGACTTTGGTGCTTGCTCTGTCGAGCAGAGCCCAATAGGTGGACCACTTGGATCGTGTGTGGAATGGCATGGTGTGATGCGCAAAGCTGGAAGGGTTCCTCCAGCTCCAGCTAAGCTTGTTATTTTTCCCTCAATAATGGAGTGAGAATTGAGAAAAAGAAAGAAAATCAGCAGTAGAAAAATCAGCTCCTTGTTGTTGAATAGAAAATTGAATTTTTTCCTGAGCACAATGTACCTGAAGAATGATAAGAAACACCTTTGATATCAAGCTAAATAAATAAAAAAGATGTTATATAACCTAATTTTCTGTGGGTCTTACAGCAGTCTCTAATTTATCAGCTTTCATTTAATTAATATTTTAATTTAATTTAATTTAGAGCAAAATTAATAAAATAAGAAAAGTAGAGCTATCAGCAACACTAAAAGATTTCTTAAAAAGAAAAATAAAAAGCCTGTGAGCTAATTATTTTGTCTGCAAGTAGCTGGGAATTCAGAAGGGCTGACCTTCAGCAGAAGCTGACGATGGGTGAATGGCACTGAAGGCAGGGACCCGTGATCCCCAGGCTGGTGTTGTCTGGCAGAGAATTGGCTCCAGACATGGGAATTTGCAGCAGTGCTGGGGTTGGCTGGGCTACTTGGGCTTGGCAGCTCTCTGTGGCTTGGAGGTGGGGAAGCAGGGGAGGAGGGATGTCCATGTGTGCTCCAGCCACACTGACTGCATGCTCAATACCCCATAGCAGTGCCAAAACACCCATGATTACAGAGGCAGCTCATTGAAACAAATTGAAACCATTTAACCTGAGAGCAACACAAGCCCTTTAGTTCATAATTTCCTCCCATTCCTCCTGCTTCTTCCCCAAGGACAAAAACTAAGGAGGAAAGATGAAATAAACGTTTTTAAGATATGTATTTCCAAGTTGGGGGTCACTGAGGGGTGAGAGGCAGCCAGGAGTGAGGAGGGAGTCAGTTGAGTGACAGCTGGAGGTGAGATTGTGATTGGCTGGAGGAACGCGCAGATGGTATGTGTGCAGGAAGCTGATTGGGTGATAGGGCGCATGGACAGCAGCGCTGCAGCTGAGCCAGCCAATGGGTGCTCGTTTCTGTTAAACTCTGTCAGGCCTCAGTTTAGTTTCAGTTATGTCAGGAGGAGAGTAAGGGCATAAGAGGTGGGTGATTTCTGCACTGATGTGATCTCCTTTGGATGCATAAGGGGATCCGTGTCCATTTGTTCCCCATTGCTACATTTTCCCACCTGAGCCAATGCCTTGAACATCCCCCTTCACTTCCATCACTCTCTGTTAAACTGCAGTAGGGGTTGCAACCTCTTGGAAGGTGCAGAGCTTCCCAAAGTTCCCAAGTAGTTGCAGGCCTCAACATACATGGGCAGGAAAGTGCAGAGACATGGGAGCTAGTCATCCTTTGGTGTCTGGTAGGAGCTCAAGCCACCCACAGTGTGATTCACATGCTCAGGGGACTGATTAAGCACAGGAACACCATTGCACATCAGTGTCAAACAATGACCTTGATTGTCACTGGCAGATGAAACCAGCTTGTATGCCTTTGCCCAGAGATAGATCAAAGAGGATTGTGCGTAAGAGCAAGAACAGCTGCGAGGAAAAACTCTTTCTCTGGGGAATTTCACCAGAGACTCTCTGTCCTCTGCCTCTGACTGCAACTCCAGCTTAGCATCAAAGCTCTGGATGGAAATGCAATGTCACCATCTTGGCAGACCCTCTCAGTCAGCTTCCAGACAGGACCTTTCAGACCATAGTGCTAGTGGAGTAGAAGGGAGTAGCCTTTTCCACCACTGAAGACAGATTTATCAGGAATTGTGAATTGATCAAAGTCACTAAATGCCTACAATTTCAGCCCTGCTTTTAGGAGGGCTGAATTGGGGACATATCAATAGGAGGTTTATTTTGGAAAGAACCATTAACCCCCCACCACTGTTAGTCTGTGGATACTCAACAGGAGGTTGTTTTGTCTCTGTGCCTTTAACCTCAGTTGTGAGCCCTTTCTTCAGCTCTGAGTTCTGATTGCATTCCCAGTCCCGCTTAAACTGGCAGAGTATCATTCTACAGCCCATTACTGCTGCCAGTCATCTAAATTACATGATTTGCATTTATTTGATAAACACAAAGGTTTTTTCAACCATTTAGAAAAGAAACTGATTTTCTGTTGTGGTTGTACACACAGTGCCTTGAGAGAAAGGTGTGTTGGGTTTCCTGTGCTTTCCAGTCATCTCCCCTCCCATCCCATGGCTAGTGTGGATCAGCTCACATGTACCTCCCTGTGCTGTCAGACAGGCACTTTTCAGGGTGTTCTGCCTTGAATCCCACCCACCAGCAATCTTTTTATCAATGCAGAATTTTCTGTGAACTCTTACCACCTTTCTTCTATCAATGAGAAGAAATGCAAGTGGCTGGTGCTATAACATAACCACTGGAGAAAGCATTAAACTGAAGCTCATCACTTCATCAGCCCCTGAGTTGTGAAGTATTTGTACAATTAATTAATTTTTTTTCCGTCTGTCTCCTAAATGGGAACTTCGTCCAAACTTCTTCTGGGGTTACAGCTTTGCTTCAGCATCACTTTTCTCCAGCAGCTGTAGAGCAAAGTAATTATGTAAGAAGTAGAAAAATGTGGTTTATTTGTTAGTGAAGTAGTGGTGAAGTAAAAAGGGAAGCTTTAAAAAAGAAGAGAGTTTTTACTACAGATGGAAGGTAGAACCAAAAACTCGGGAAAGGCACATCATATGTGCCTAACTCATAGATTCTCGCAGGGATTAATTAGTTTGTCAGGAAAAAATCCATCAAATAAATGGTTTTTACTCTTTTTTTTGCTGGATCTTGTTATGTTCTTGCTGATCCCAAGGGGAGCCCTCTGCTACTGTGTGTTAAAAAGTCTTTTGCTGTGGTGTCCTCTGCTTGGTTCTAGGCTGTTCATGCTCACCAAGAGCATGGAAATATAATAGCACACCCTGAATCCTGTGGGAACAGCTGTTGTTGAGAGGTGTCACTTCACTTTTTATCACATTTAGTTTTCAGGCTCAGTTCTTCACAGGGCAATCTACACTGCTCAGTGACTTTGGGAGAAAACAAATTGCTTATGTTCTCTCATGGAAAATATCAGTCTTGGAAGTCTTGATCTTCATGTGAGCTGAGAACGGTTCAGTATAGACTTACTGAAGAATAAGGAATTGTACATACAAGGAAGTATTAAATGCTTAGGACAAAACTAAACAAACTGAATCTTTCCTCTTTGTTAATATAAGTACCTTGAAAAACATGGAACTTATCTAAAGTAATGTGCACAGATACATGCATACATACATGTCTATAAATCTGTGTGTGCATGCACACCTTTCAGAGGAGAGACTTTGGAAATGCACTCCTTTACTTCCCAGGGTTACAGCATTTCATGATTAATAGTTCAACTCCTCCCACTGCATTACCACCAGCATGACAATTATTTTTTGATACTTTCATCCTGTACAGTGTTAATTTTTTAATATCAAATGTGATGCTTTTGACAAATTTATAAAAAGTATTGATTTGTAAATGAATGTATACAGGTTTTTCTGTGGAGTTCAGCATGGTCAAGTCTGGATGCCCTTCAAAAGTTGCTAGCTGACACAGTCATACCTCAGTCTGTTGAACAAATGAGAGCTTGTAGTATTGATGCAGTGGATTCAACTGAACATCCTACTTTCATTTTGACAGAGGCTTTTTCCTTTCTGCAAATCATAGTATATTTTTTATGAACTGCATATTATATTTTTGCCAGTTATGATTTAGTTCATAAAGCCAGTGCAAGTCTTTCCATGTAGCTTTCACAGAAATCAGAGCAAATTAATATATTTGCATGAGCAACAAAATTAAGTGATGCAGAAAATTCAACAAATTTCACAGCTTCGAACCTGAACTGCATTTATTCCTGTTTTGCTGCCTGCACTGAAATGCAGAACAGCTGAGCTGAAGTGCATCTTTGCAACCTCCTCCACAGTCAGAGCACTTGCAAACCCACACAAACCCAGTCTGTGTAACACAAACATATGTATGTGCTTTATGTGCTTGTGCACCCAGGAGGGATGAGTCAATGTTGAAAATATGTATCCTTAACCAGAACAAGCATAGTTTTTTCTGGCTTCTTCCTAGTAGCTGGAACCATAATAGGTAATACTAGAACTTTATGACAGGGAAAAGGAGGAAAAGAGCAAAAGTACTTATTTTTTTTCTCTTTATTTTCCTTTTTTTCTTTTCCTTAAAACAAATATTTCCTGATTTCTTTCTTCCCTGTTTTGAAATAGTAATTATGCTGCACTGACTCAGACTGTTCACAAGATGATATCACTTACCTGGAATTGGTGAGAAATGTGTTTCTAAAAATTTTCCTCCAGGCAGGGACCTGTGGAGCTGGAAATATCTCTTAGTGGACTCCTCTGAAGCAAAATGGTGAGTTTGAAAAGAAAGTGTCGATGGGCTTTCAAGGCTTTGGTCTGTCTCTTCCAGCATAATTTTTTTGATCCAAACTGGCATTGATTTAAGATGTGTTCCTGTGCAGGGGAAATAATAGCTTAAAGCAGCTGTTTATCAGCTCAGCTCTGTTCTGTTCTTGCTTTTCATGTCTATATTTCTCCTTGAGAAATAAGAAGCAGAAGGAAAACATCCAAGAAGAAGAAGCAAGAAGGCAAAGGAAAACAAGTGTATGGGGATTGCAAATTGAAACTCATTTCATAAAACTTTATGTAAATCTGGGCTGCATCTGTGTAAGGAACAGTGACTTAGAAAGAGAAACCTGTCAATATCTGGAGCAAGGTACAAAACCTGGTAGCCTCTTCACTTGTTTATGGCCAGTGTGTGTTCACCCCTGAAATCTCTACCTCACCTTCCCTCTCTTGTCCCAGCTCAGGCTTGGGAAGCCACAAGCACTCTTATCATCCACTGGCTGAGTGTGAGTCCAGACAAAACATGCTGTGGGCTCAGCAGGCTTTATCCTGCATTTATTTGGGGATAGCAACCTGCCATGTCCAGCCATTATCTCTAGATCCATTCTTCATATATTAATATGTATACATTATATATATACATACATACATACATAAATAAAAGCACTCACCTTCTGGCCAAGAGGAAACACTGTTGCCCACTTGATTTTCTGGTAAGGATTGCCTTTCTGGGAATCTTGGAACCATTCCCAGAATAAGCAAGCAAGTAAAAATTTGTGTTTGCAGGTGCAGCAGGTGTCTGCAGAAAATCATTGCTGCTGAAAAAACAGTAAAATAAAACATGCTCTGTATAATATAGAAACCAATGGGGAATATTTCTTGTTATTTTACAATTCAAACTTTCAATTATTGGGTATTGCTCTTCACAGACATTCTCAGAAGAAAAAGGTCTTTGGTACCTTGCCTGACAGGGTTGAGATTCTCATCTTGAGGGCTCAGTACTTAATGCCTGAAAAACAAGACTTCATAGTCTCCCTGGAAGAGAGTGTGCTGGATCAGTATGCTATTTTGAATGACACCCCTTGCTTACTTGCCTGTTGCCCTCAGTGGAATTCAGAATTACCTAAAATGAAAACTTTAATCTTCTATATTAACAACATCTCCGTAATACTGAGGAGCTCACGTTCTCCTGTTAAATGGTCTCTGGGTATTAACACAGTGCTTGGCTCTCCCACTTGCTTCTCCAGCCAATCTTGGTCTTAATGTTCAAATAAAGAGATTGAGGCATCATCTGGTATCTCATCACATAAGCTTTCTCATGTAGAATCACCTGACAGTCTAATTTGATTGTTTCCAAACCAGAGAGGACAGCCATCAGCCACCTCCCAGAATGCATTTAAAGGCTATAATCCAGAAATCTTCTCTGTTAAACAAAGCAGTTATTTATCACTCTTCATAAAACTATGAAGACAATAAAGTAGTCAATTTAGTCTAATGGACAGGTGCAATCTGATTATTTATGTTCTTGTTAATATTGTCTGGAAAAACTTAAAGAAATTTGAATGTCATGGGTGTCAGCTGCTAGAGTGGCAGGACATGAAACAGTGCTGATGAATGTTTGTACTTGCACAAGGGACTAATTCCATTTTATTGTTCAAGGTATTAACTATTGACATTAGTACTGTTTAAATTTTCCACTTTGTGAATCTGTTCAGATTTCCCTCTGAAATTTAGTTCTTATAAGGTTAAAGACATTATTAGGGATTTCTCCTGATAAATCTGATCTGTATTCTCTCCACATTTGGCACAAATATTTTCTGCTCAGCATCCCCCACTTCTGCCAGCATTCCAGCCACTACAACTTTTAAAGCCTGCTTAGTCTCATATCACTTGTTCCATGTAGAGGAAAGGATCATTATTTCTTCTTACAGACTGGGAGGACAATCATGGAGAGACAGCTACCATTTCCTGGCAGGTATTTTCCTCTGTCAGTATCCCTGAGTGGCACCTATGACTGCTGAAACCCAAAGCAGCTCATTTATTTATTTATGGGAGAGCTCCCCAGGGACCTTGCTGGAGGATGAGAGCCTGCAAGGCAGCCTTACTTGGTGGGTTTAAGGTATTTATGCATTTTGATTTCGTTTGAGTGCTGTTGCAGAGGGAGAAACTATTAAAGCATTTGTTGCACACATAGCTCTGGGAAAAGATATTTGCCGAGGCATATTTTGTTTCTGTTTTAGTAGCACAATTACCCATTTTGCTGCTGGCACATGCATCTTTCTGACCTGGGACCTCTGTGCTGAGGGAACACCATCCTTAGGGGGCTGGCTAAGAACAGCCTGGGGAACAAGCAAGCGACATCTTAACCTCAAAATACTAATTAAAAATTGCCATTGAGTCAGCTCCAAGTCAGGTAGCAAGACAAAAAGCCCTGTAGAGGGATGAATTTTCAGTAAATAGCAAGACCTGTAAGACCTTACTGTTGGTGACAGACAGAGGGTTTCAATACATAGAGTTTAAGTCTTACTGAAACATGATTAAAACTACTTATGTACAGTTTATTTATCAGAAATTCAGAAAAATTATTTATTTTCCTCTTCCCAAAAGTCTGATTATTTAGCACAGTTGAGCCATTAGTGGCTTAACAAAGAGAGAGCTATACACAAGCTAATAACACTTTTTTTGCAATAATCTGTTTGCCTTTTGTGAGCTGAAACAATCTTTTCGATTGTGATGGAGTATTGATTAGAGCAAGATGAAGACTATTAAGCAGACAATATATTTCTTGAAGGTGAGCATTTAGGGGATTCTGGATAATTTCCTACATTCTTGTCAATCTTTAGAAAGATTTTCATTTATCACTGAACAAATCTGATCTGAATAAATGGCAAAACAGAGGTTTGCCCACAAAATGACTTTGGATATCTGCTTTTTATCAAACAAAACTAGTTTTCACTTTAAACTACTTTCTGCATTTCCTTAGGTAATTTTAGCATTCCAGTATGAGAATGAAACATTATTATATGTAACAAAGAGAACATACTTCCAGTGAAATAGTTTTCTAATGTTGATGTTTGTGGTCATTATCATGAAGGTTAATGATGATAAAAATAATAGCACACAATAGGTGCTGAAACTCCTACAATCAAAGAGCAACAAATTGAATATGAAGCTTTAATGTAATGGTATTTATGTGCATCAATTATTCTAATATTTGAATAACTCTGCAAATTCCATTTTTCTTCAAGATTTTTGCATTTTTATACCAAAAGCACTGAATGGAGAGCTATTGTTTTGAAAACAGACTGATTTCATATTAATTCTGCATTGTGATAAAGCTTTTGCCATAAACCCCTTGACTGCTTTGAAACAAATATCTTTATTTCAGATGATTTTAAAAAACCCTGTCATTTTCTATATGTTGGGATGACACAGAAGTCCTTAAAATCTAGATTGTAGTTACAGTGATGACACCACTGTAATCAGAAAAAAAAAGTGAAGATATCACATAAAAAACTTTCCTGATTCTCAGGACATGCAGGCCCTCTCTGTGCCAAAAAAAGACAGAGGCTTTGCCACTGACCCCACAGGATTTTCTATCCAGCACAGCACCAACCCCTCCTCTCCCTGTGTTTTCTAATCTGCCCTCAAGGCAGGCATATGCTAATGAAATTGCTCTATTAAATCAGTAATTACTGATTGAAATATAAAATTGCATCTTCCCTCATCAGAAAACGAAGGTGACGAAGTCCTCCAATACAAAATATTTTCAAATACTGTGACTAAACATAACAAATGTAAACTAGAGAGAGGCCTTATATTGGGCTAAAGCTGATTTCCCTGTACAGGTTTTTCTGAAGTTTCTCTGGTTGCTAAGATACTACCAGTATTATCTTCCACTATGTCTTTGGTATTTAAAATTTTATATTTTTTAACCCCTGTACAAGTCTCTTCCATGCCTCTGTCTGTACCTTTCCTTTTGGAATGAGCAGGTGGGGAGTATAGGTGAGATTCTCCACACATATAAACCCCAGACCTTCAGTTACTCCAGTGGAGCATTCCTACCTTCCAACACTTACATTTTGGCCTGGTAAATACAACAGCTTTATTTAGAAATCAACAGTTTTCAGGCTACGTCCTACCAGATAATGTAGACTCTTCTATAAATGCAGAAAATTTCACTGCCTAGAGGTGCTAGAAAACCAGAGAGGTCTGATTTTCAAAGTTTATTTGCAAATTATATGCTCAAATACCTGATTTCCTCAATCAAAGTAATGTTTATGCCCAAATGGTTTGCATTTCAGTGCTCTACCATCAGCTCTGAACCATCAGAAAGCCTCCAGGCTGAGGAAGTTATTTTCAGGATTTTGTAAATGATTTTCAGAACTGAAGATGGAATTTTTGGAAGGAAACTCTTTCCTTAAAGTTCATCACTTTCACCAAGCATGATTAAACACTATATAATTTAACATTATTTGCTGATAGAAAATCAAAGCATTTTCCTCCAGCATGCTGACATTTGCAGCAGTGGGGAACATTTGCACATTTTATGCTTACAACAAGAGATGAGGTATGAAATAGTTTCTGATAATGCTTTGAACACCATGGAAGCTTTGTCATTTATCACAGCACATGAGCTTGTTCTAGATTCCTACCATTATTGTGATATATTTCTACAAACTAGAAGAATAACTTTATTTTGATGGCAGATAGTGGATAAATCATCAAAACTCCAGTAATCATGTTCTCCTCAAGCATGCTCCACTGTAGGAGCTTGGATTTCCCTTTCTCACAGGGATTGAGTTTATTTTTTTTGGTTAATAAAGACTTGCACAGACAAATAGGTGACATGGATTGTCTTTCTCTCCTGAGACCTTGGACTGTTGTTTGATTCTGTGAAAATATATCACAAATAATGAGTTATGTTAAGTAATCTCAAGAAACTGCAAATAATTTTAAATTTTAAAGAACGCAAATCAAATGCACATGTGGTGCCAGAACATTCCT